TTTAACCGTTGATTCCCTTACTTGAAGTTGCTATTTCTTGGAATATCTTATTGTTGGATTTGATATTGAGTTATGAAGGCCGTAATTCACATTGAGGCAAAGTGGTAAATTGTTGAAATACCATCCTTGTTGAGTCATTGTTGATATTCTTGTGCATATTGTGGTTGAGCCTTGGGCTATTTATTTTGGAAACACTATTATTGTCAACTTATTTGGCAAGTTGTGATATTAGGCACTTGAGGTGTGATTTATGATACATTGTGATATTGATGCACATGCGATGGTATAAGGATTGGGGTTAAAACGCATGCAGTGAGATAAGGTGGGCTTGGTATACGTGTTGCTAGTAGGGGAACTACTTGAAGCCATGCGGTGTGATAAGGTGTGCTAAAATGCGGGTAGCTATTTCCGAAAAAATGAGTTTTAAAATCTAAATGTAAGGTTCCCGTGGTGATATAAGAAAAGAATATGAGTGGTTATGTGATACGAGACTACGAGGCGATACTTTGGTAGTGATTCTTGTCATTACTTTTCTATTACATCACTCGTGTCTTGGTTGCTTTGTTTCTTTGGTATATTATTCCTTGTTTTCTTCCGTGATGCCTTATTTGCCTTAGTTAAGTGTAGTTATCCTTGGTATATATCCTTATTGTCTCATTTCCATTGTTTATCATTATCACACTGTTATATACCCGTTCAGTTTTCTTATTTATTCTAGTATGGCCTTGACCTGAACTCGTCATTTCTCTATCGAGGTTAGACTTGAAACTTATTGGGTACCATTTTGGTGTACTCATGCTACGCTTCTGTACATCTTTTTGTGTAGATCCAGGTACCTCTTACCAGCCCAGGCTCCGGTGAGTCGAGTTCGGATTTGGAGACTTTAAGGTATACTTGCCGGCATTCGCAGGCCTTAGAGTCACCCTCTATCTAGTGCTAGTTCATTTTCCCTTTTTATATATACTATTGTATATGGATGTTCTGTATACTCTTATAGAGCTTGTGACTTGATATCACCGAATTTTGGGGAGTTTGTTTCTGTTGAGTTGCGGAGTTCTTTTATGATAGTTGTTGAGTTATTTGAATGTTTTATTATTATCTTAGCTACATTCTACATGTATGTTAGTCTTACCTAGTCTTAGAAACTAGGTGCTATCACGACATCCTACGGAGAAAAATTGGGGTCGTGATATGAACTTGTCTTTTAGAGGTGGAGAATATAACGAATAGATAGGTTATTTTGAGTTCTATCTTTCTGTCTCTTGATTTGAGGCCTTAAATAGCTTTATTTGATGTTTTATTACTTGTGTTCATGGCTCCTTTTAATTTTGCGGAAAGTTTAGATATGTTCTAGATGAAAAATTTAGGCCAAATACATCGGCAGCCCCTTAAAGTTGTCCTCACTTTTCACTTAAACACCCTATTTTAAGTCCATTTCATTTGAACACTTTAATTAGGTCTTTACTGTGTCATTTAGACATAAAATTTGGAGGCAGCCAAACACAAAAGTGTGTGCAATCACACGCTAGAGTGACGAATAAAACGAGGACACGTGGATTCACTCGTTGTCATCTTCCCCAACTATCACTCGTCGCCAGAAAAATCATTTTCGGCCATTTCTTTCTAGCTCAATTCTGGGCCAAATCAATATATTCCAAACAATGAAGATTGTTATCCACCTCCAGATCTAACTTTTCACAAATTTTTAGACCATCCCACCATTAAAAACGTCAGCACCGATGTTCTGCAGAACTCCGGTGAGCTTCAGTTAGCCGGAAATTGAGTTCCAACCGTCTAAATTGAACAAAATCAATGCGAAGAAACATAGGTACCCCCTCCTTCCGTCTTTATCTGCCAAAAGGAAAACACACAGGTACCGTTTTTGGATTTTCAGATCTGGAGAAAGGATATATTTATGTCAATTGTTTTTCTTTCTTTTTTGGGTTGAACATCCCTTCTTTTAGCTAACTAGAGAAGAAAAAATCTGAGTTGAGAAAAAAGGGAAGAAACAAAAAGAATCTGGCGATTCTAGCAACTACCGGCCATTGCTCATTTCCTTTCCTCCTTCATCTCTATTATTCTGTTTCGTTGTTGTTTTAACTGATAAAAGAGCAGAACTGAAAGAAATGACCGGACATTTAATAGTTCGGCGACTACCATTAAAATCGGCGACATTTATCACCATTTCTGGTGTTCCATCGTTGTAGTATTGGAGATTCGTTCGTGTTCTGTCTATTACTGATTTCGTGGTTGGTGTGTAAATGTTAAAACCTTGATAACATATTACTGTTTCTTGTCGCCTCTTTGGACCTAGCAGCAGAGTTCTGACTTTTCCGGTGACCTTGTTCATGTTCTGCTTGCCAAAGAATAGGAGGAAAAAGAAAGTAAAAATAAATAAAAAATAGAAATACCGATCTCTCACTCTCAGAAAAATAGTGTAACACACGCACTATGCCACATCATTAAATTATGTTTAAATGACACATTTGAGATATGGTTAAAGTGTTCAAATAAAATGAACTTAAAATAGGGTGTTTAAGTGAAAAATGAGGACAACTTTAAGGGGTTGCCGATGTATTTGGCCAAAAATTTAATTCTAAAGTCTTGATGTTGTTGCAGTTAACCACAGTCAACATTCTTGGTAAACGACCTCGGATTGGTATTTTGACAATTTCTGTAGATTCATATGATAATTTTGGACTTGTACATATGTTTGGTTTTGTTCCTTAGTGATCGAAGGTTGTTTCAGTAATTATAGTTGAAAGTTGAAGAGTCTGAACTTTGGAATTTTTGTTTGATGTTTGATGCTTGGCTTTGATGTTAATTTTAGTATTTATTCCTTCGAGCAAGTTTGTGTTAGGTATATAGACTTGTTGGAATAATTGGATGGGGTCCCAAAAGGCTCAGGTGAGTTCTAAGATGGTTTCAGACAATTTCGGGAAGTTGTCCATTGTTGGTGCTACCGAGATCGCATTTGCAATGCTAGGTTCTCAATTGCGAGGCTACATTTGCGAATGTCGCTTTGCATTTGTGAGAAATTAAGGGAGTTAAGGTAGCATCGCATTTGGATGCTATGATTTGCAATTGCGATGTCGCAATTGCAAAGTTGCATTTGCAATTATGAAGGCTCGGGGAAGAAATCATATTTGCGATCAATTGGTTGCATTTGCGAGCTTCATATTTGCAAAGATTTCTTTTGCATTTGTGACATCTCTAACTCGGATAAAGAAGGTTTTAGGATTGATTTGTTCTTCTCCATTTTTAGACCTAATCTTTGTAAGGAGGAGTTTTCTGAGAGAATTTTCTTTCAACTTCAAATATTAGTATTTTGAACTTAGTTTTGATTAAATTTCATAATTTTCCATATATTTTCACCCTTAAATCTAGGATTTCAAAGAGTAGAAAATGGAGTTTTCATAGAAACTTAAGAAAGTGAGTTTTGAAAGTTTAGACCTCAATATAAGGTCGGATCTGGAAACAAATTTACATATTTGGGCTCGGAGAAGAATAAATAATCTGAATTTGGTCTTGATTACGGATTTTCGACTACGTAGGCCCAGATGGACTTTTTTTAAATAAGATAAAAGTCAAACCTTTTTTATACTAGGACAATTTTTAAAGCTTGTTTTGACTTATTTGAGTAATATTTGTCTAGGTTCAAGTTGTTTGGAGGCATGATTTTTTTTTTTTAAAAAAAGGTAAGTATTTTGGTTAACCTTGACTTGGGAGAATTAGGTTGTAAATGTTTTACTTGCTATCTGCTAAATGTGTTTGTGTGGCATATATGCATGGTAACAAATGTATATGCATTTGTCATAGTTTAAAGCATGCAATAGTAGAGTTAATTTTACTTGTGTCTTTGTTTATTTCTTGTACTATTTTCTTATGTCATGAAAATGTTAATTTGCTTATTTCACCTTGGTCATGTTCATCTTTTCCTTAACGAAATATGCTTAATCTTTATCTTTGATATTATATTATGCACTTTGTCATGTTTGATTTCTTGTTAGATGTTCCCATATGAATTGGTATGTTGGATCGAGTTGCACGCCAATCTTATAATATGATCGGGTTGTTCGCCGCGATAATACGGTCATTAGATCTGGTTGCTCGCTGCAACAGTATTGTGTTGGATCAGATTGTTCGCCACAACAAATATGATGCGAATTTCTTGTGTTTGATTTATGATATTGTTCTCCTTTGTGGAATTTGCTTCATAAGATCATGCTATGTTGTTATTCCGTGAATCCTGTATAAATTATGCTCTTAGTTGGTTTTTTTCTTATGTATTTGTTTTTCTATCTTTTTATTTGTTCTACTGTTTGTTTTCTGATTATTATCTATACAAGTTGTGATTAAATAAGTTTTTATCACAGCTTCGTCACTACCTCGTCGAGGTTAGGCTCAATACTTACTGAGTATATTGGGTCGGTTGTACTCAAACTAAACTTATGTACTTCTTGTGCAGATTCAAGTGCTAGTACCAGTGAAATCCCGAAAGGTGCTTAGCTTGGATACTTGGAAGACTCAAGGTAGTGTTGCATATCGGTTCGCAGCCTTAAAGGCACCTTCTTATATATCTATCACTATTCACTTGTTTCAAATAATATCGTATTTATTTCAAACCTTGTATTTAATACTCTCTAGTGCTCATGTACTCGGTGATATCAGCCTTGGGGAGTTATTTGAATAGTTGTAATGATTTTAGATTTATTATGTAGTTTCAGAGCTTTTACTCTTTATTTATGATATTATGCCGTTAAATATTTAGTTTTGTCTCTTTAATTAGTGTTAAGTATTGGCTTGCCTTGCAAGTGAAGTTAGGCGCCACCATCACGATTCCTTGATTGGGATTTTGGACCGTTACATTTAGGTACTTTCTTGAGACGATGCATTATAATAAATTTTAAGCAATAATCAAAATAAATATTATATTTAAATTGATAATACAATATAATACAATGAGAAACAATCACCCAAGCAAATTGTGAGAATGAAAGTTGGTATGACACCGGAACGGAATTGGATATGCAAGGTTTGGTTGCTTACTCAAGTGATGTGATTCAAGATTTGGGTGATGAACCTAGTTACAAACTAATGCCAAAATCGTGAGATATATGAAGCAGACACCATAACACAGACCCCTTTTATTTTATTTTAGGACAGCACAAAATTAAGAGTGCAAAAAGTTACAATGAGAATTAAACTTATTGTGGCAGTGGGATATCAGCAAGATCCTCTCTATAAGGAACACGATCTACCAATTCCACATTGTTTGTTCCATCTTCCATATAACGTTGAGCATTTGGATTGTCCTTGATTGGGTCAATGTAGGTAACAACTGTGTCTTTTCGAAACATAAGGTAAATCACTGCTAGAATATAGATAGCCATCAACGGAAATACTACGATCCCAATGAACACATTTCCAACTTTAGGCAAATTGTTGTGTATTAGCCAATCTACAAAGGCTGTGGTGAGGTAGTAGATATTGATGCCAATGATTCCTAGCCCAAGTATCCACGAGATCACGATAATCTAAATAATCAAAGAAAACGAAACATTAGTATCCGAGAACCTATCTAGGCAAGCTTTCAGAATCTGTTTATTTTGAAAACCGATTGTGATTATAAGGGCCGTGGCTTACATAAATTGAATTCTTGTGTGGTCCTAACTTGGTGGAACTGCTACTGAATTTGAGCAATGGAATGAGAGCAAATGGAAGTTCAAAAGAAAGTATCATCTGAAAAATGGCCAAAAAAGGTTAGTTTTTCCTTTAAAAAATGTAAAAAGGATCTAAAGGAAAATAAAAAGCAGTAATATTAACTGAAGCAATAATGATTAGCCTGCCAGCTCCAGATGATCCTCCAATAATTGAAACAACAAGGCTTGGAGTAATAGCAATAAGCCTAGTAATCAAGTTCCTTAACCATGTCTTCATCTTAAGATCCAAGAATCCCTAATTCACACAAAACAATATGATTATTATAAGTTCTGTAATGACAACGAAAAAAATGTATTGAAAAATTTGTACACTTACTTGCATGATAAATTGACCAGCATAAGTACCAGTTATGGTAGAGCTTTGTCCCGAGGCTAATAATGCAATAGCATAAACAGTAGAACTTGATTTTCCAAGTACATTCTGCGAATTAAAATTAAACATAGTAATAACCAGATAGTTAATTTATTATATTAAATAAATCATTTTCGAGAAGAGAAAAGAAAATATTCCAGGGCAGGATTGTTGTAAACCTTGAGAAGAAAAGAAGCAGAGTTCAAAGTGATGTCGCTGCAACTATCTTTATTCTCTTGAGAGAGATTGTCAGCTCCGCAAACAGTACCAGAAACAGAGATAACTGCTACATTGATTAGGAACGCCACAAACAGTGCAAATCCACTCTCTATCAAGAAGTATTTACATGCGTCCTGCAAAATTCATCTTTTCCTCTAATTGGAACGTACAAGAAAAACTTTAAATCTGTGCTATATATATATATATATATTCGAACTTACATTAATGCCACGAACCGAATGTGGTATTTTCCTAGAGAGCACAAGTGCTGAGTGAAGAAAAAGGTTGTGCCTGTAAACATATATAAACAGAGAATTTAGACACACGTACTCACTTTGCACTTAGTCATATAAAATGAGTACTAATTAGTTTGAAACTTACGGCATGACGAGAGCACCCAACAAGGCAATAGCATCAGCGGTGGCGCCATTACCGTTAAGCTTAGGAATGAACATTCCTTTGACTACTTCTTTAGCAGGAGGTTTTACATAACTCATTTCCCCGAAGAAACACGCCGCCATTACGAACACTAGCACTGCTATTAGCAATTCTAGCTTTCTCACCTGCACGGACCAGACAAAGTTTTACATATATATATATATATATAGGAGTGACAAAGTAAATGAGAGCTGAGTTAATAAATGGACCGAACCGGACCGGACTAAACTTATGTTGATTAGGTAAGTCATATTTTCTTGAGCTGATTTTGCCATCCCTATTTACATATATAAGATTGAGATAGGATGGTTTGGTCATCAATCAGCTACTTTAATTTCATTTTCAACTTTATTGATGTGATAGAATGTTTGGAAGATACGAAACTCTAGGCTTCTTTAATATCATTTTCGAATGCGAGAAGAATATTCTAACAAATTCAAAGTTAAACCAAAAGTAAGATTCTCAACAGTCATGTTAAAAACAACACTTAGATACATTAATTATTTAAAGAGTTACTATAAAGACAAACTGTACTAGTGGGATTGCGCAGGCGGCTTTAATTATAAATAAAATATTTAAGAAGTTTGATTGAACATATAACTACCAAATTTAATTTAACTAGACTTAGAGTTTCAGAGAAAACGCCTAACTTTTAGTGGAATATTTATGCGAATTATTAACGAGCTCCCCCGAGTGGAATGGTTGAAGTAATTGGTCTCATTATTCAGATTAGGGCTCGCTAGTACTTAAAGTTATTCGCTATACTTGATACGATCTTTGAATGGATAAAAATATAGTTAAAGTTTGGATATATTTGTTTAAAATAATGAGTATTTGAAATTAAAATTGATGGATATGAATTTTATTTGAAAAATTACTAGGCGTTTGAACATAAGAATTGTAAAGTTCGGAAAAATGGTGTAAAATTTTTTCAAGTGAAAATGATATTTGAAATTTAGAGTTGTGTTTGGACATAAATTTCAGTTTGGGTTGTTTTTGAAGCTTTGTGAATAATTTGATGAAAATTTTGAAAAACAACTTTTTGTAGTTTTAAAAATTTTCGAAATTTTTCAAAATGCATCTTCAAGTAAAAATTGAAAATTTTATGAACAAACACTGATTTCAAAAAAAAAAAAGTAAAATTATTTTGAAAAAATCTTCCATCAAATTTGAGTGAAAACTGCAATTTTACTTGAAAACTCCTCAAACAAATGTTTCTAAATATATTATAAAAGCCAAAATGGTAAAGCAAATATTGTGCAAATGTCTAATCAATTTGTGAAGTACATGATAGTGGACCCTACCACATCCTGAATCCTCAGATTCAGTTATGTATCAAACAAAAGTTTTCTCAAAGTAAATTAAAAGTTAAAACATTTCCTTTCTTTTCTTCAAATAATGCATGTCCAAATGCGTACTGAATTTATGAGTTACATGATAGTGGACTCCACCACATCCCTGATTTAGTTATGTGTCAAAACAAACGTTTTCTATATGTAAATTAAAAGTTAAAACGTTCCTTCTATTTTCTTCTAAACTTTTTGTGGTTGTTTGGGGGGTGATAGAAAAATAAATAAAACAAGAAGGGTCCAACAGCAATTAAGCAAACTTACCCCATATCTCTGCAGGCCAATGAAGAGGAGAGTACTCACACCAGTGCAAAGAACTCCAACCCAAACAGGAATATGGAACAATATATTAAGAGCAAAAGCTGTCCCAATCACTGCCGGAAAGAAGACATAAATCATTTAATTAAAAAAATTTATTTGATAGATAAAGAATTAGTTAGATAAAGTGACAATGACCTTATTCTTTCAATTTGTTTCTTTAAAATATAGATGCATGTATGGCATATTCATGCATTTATACTCAAACTCTAATAGAACAAACAAAAAAACTGAAGAAAAAAAAAAGTTTATATATATTAAATTTTTAGTACAGAACATTATTGTGATCATAAGTAAACTAATGTTATATTATCTTACTAAAAGATTCCACCATTTCTATTATACAAAAATTATTGACTTCCATTTTTCTTTAATTCATAGAAGGTTTGCAAGTCTTGCCTTCAGGAATATCTGCAGCAATGACAGCAACCTCAGCTAGAATCCACAGACAGTACTTAACAAATATTGGGTATTCAGCCCTGCATAATTCTGATAAATGTTTGCCTGGAAAACAAAAATAGGAGGAAAGAGTTTAATCTTCATATGAAATATGCAAGTAATAAAAGGTGAATGTAAAGTAATGATGTTTAGTCTAACTTACCAGTGCTAACTCCAAGATTAGCAGCAAGTGATTGAATAATAAGAGCAAATATCAATCCAATGAGAATCACCCAAAGAAGCTGAGGATTTTGAGGAACAAGTAAGATATATACATCTAGCTAAAGTTTTGGCCCATACCAAAGTTTATTATTTTTAATTACCTCGTATCCATGGTTTGCTCCTGCTTGCAAATCAGTTTCCACTGTACCATTAATTTGCAACAATATTAACAAGTTATTAGTTTTAAACCAACTGTAAAGAAAAACTACGCATAAATAGTTGAAGTCTTATTAACTTTTTATGTGAGCTAAAAAACTTTGAGGCACGTAAAGAAAGATAAGTGATAACTTACAATTCCCTGGATCAAGATATGCCAAAGAAACAAGGAAACCAGGTCCCACGTATGCAAAGAAATTTTTCCAGCCATGTTTCTACATAATTTTAATGAGAATTTTCAAGATTTCTTGGGAGGATAGTTTTAAAAAAAATAAAAATGGATGAAGTGAAAACCTGGGGCTCGTGATGATCATTATTGGAAGAAGGTAATGGACTCTCAGCTACTGCTACAATTCTCTTGCTTCCTCCATTGACTTGGTTTTGCTGGTGATTCTCCATTCCTTTTACTTTTTCACACACTTTGACTCCTATATTAGCTGTGTTTACTTACTTAGATGAGACTTGGGTATGCAATTCTTGTTATTATTTATAGTGCACTAGTTTGAACACATTGTTGTTCTGATGTCAGGTAAACGAGAAGGCAAGGAAAGGTGTTTGGGATTGGTGGGATCGATGACATGGGGGGATTGGAGCATCGAAAAAAAAATAGATAAATACTTACATCAAAGGAAATAATTTAATTAACCTTAGCACTTAACAACTAATTAAAGTTAATATATATCATTTAACCATTAATTAAGTGAAATATATGTATGTATGAAAGACATATATTTCTCGCATAAATTGACTTAATATAACTATCCATTTGGAAGTAAGTCATGACCAGAGGTGGATGCAAGATTTTTGCTAAGGGGTTCAAAAAGGTTAAGGAGATTATAGCTAGTGAGAATTGAACCAATGATCTTACAAATATTTGGACCGCCTTAACCAATAAGCTATAATTTTAGTCTATATCAAGATGATTCAAAATATATTATATAGAGGTAAAATAAGATTTTACCTTATATATACAATGTAATATTTCGGCAAACTTGATATTATATAGAGGTAAAAATAAGATTTTGCCTTATATATACCATGTAATTTTTCGACCAACTTGAATAGAGGTAAAAATAAGATTTTGCCGAAATCCGTCCCTGGTCATGACGCTGAAAACTTGATTGATTAAATGAACAACATAATACCTGTCCAGATATATAACACTAAGGTGAGTCATGGGACATGCCATAGGTAAGAGAGAGGTCTCTTTCAGGCCTAGATTAGGAAAAGCTATGGGTAATATATAAGGTTTTGTTTTTCCTTTATGTATATAACATTCATTCTAGTGCTAATTAGTACTACTAATATTGTGCTAGTATCATTTTGGCGGATGGTTGGGTTTGACCAGATGTTATTTTTATTAATATTGCTCGACCCAGCCAATAGTTATCAACTGATTTGCTGTTGTATTGGTTGAGTCTCCAATAATATAGGGCATCTCGTGTTTTTCTTTTTTATTTTCCCTTTCATTCTGGTATTAATTAGGCATGGCTTATTTAAGATATTTGATATATAAAGGCCTAAATCCTGAATTATTTGCTAAGTGGACAAACTGAAGATTTTTAAGGCTTAAATAATGGCGACTAATTATACAGATCACCCATCCATTCAAAAATTAAAGAGAAAGAGAAACTAGATTATAGTTTGTCAACCAAAAGTTTACTTATCAGAAGTGGCCCAATGACGATTTTGATACTACTTATAGAATAGAGAGAACTTCATTTATAGTTTATCGGGCAAAACAAATATTATCCGGTAATCCACAAATTGACCCATACAAGTCACAGTCTAAAAATAATGACAAGTGCTAGCCGGAAACTTCACTGAACGAATTCTCTCGCCGGAAAATCCTAGATCTAAGAAGATCTGGACTTTTACCCGTTAAATCAACATCAAAACAAAAGAAAAAAGGGGTGTGTGCAAGCATCTGTTACCAGCAGCACAGAAAAAACAAAAAGCAAAACAATTGTACAAATGGAGAAAGAAAAGGTGTCCTTGGAGTTGAATATGTTCCCGTACATCAACATATTTCAGTAGCAGCAACCTATAGGGAAGAAGAGGAAAGCGAGAGGAGCAGTGTGTAGCAACGAGATAGACAACCTTGTCTTCTTTCTCTGATTTTCTCTTATAGTTTCTGTAAATATGTAGATAATATTTTGAAGATGTTTGGCTAAAAATTTAAAACTCCGGCGATCTTGTTACCATTTTTGGCAACTGTGAGGCCATGGACGTCGGTGGCTGGTTTCTCAATGAGAGGAAGAACAGAGGAGATGACTATGAAAAAAGTTGAAATATCTACAAAATAGACTGGTATTATACAAAAATTATACAAAATAGACAGTCACTATACAATTTATATACAAATAGATTGTCACTATACAATTTATATACAAATAGATTGTCACTATACAATTTATATACAAATAGAGTGTCACTATACAAAATATATACAACAATACAATGTCATTATATAAAAAATATACTAAATAGACTGTCATTATACAAAATATGTACAAAATAGACTATCACTATATAAAAATATATTAAATAGACTGTCACTATATAATTTATATACAATTAGCTCTCACTATACAAAATATATACAACAATACAATGTCATTATATAAAAAATATACTAAATAGACTGTCATTATACAAAATATGTACAAAATAGACTATCACTATATAAAAATATATTAAATAGACTGTCACTATATAATTTATATACAATTAGCTCTCACTATACAAAATATATACAAAATAGACTGTCACTATACAAAATAGACTATTACTATACAAAATATTATACAAAAAATATACAAAAATAGACTGTTACTATACAAAAATTATACAAAAATAGACATTTCGTATATGACATGCATTACATATTTCATTCAATTGTTAGTTAAAACTTATCAGATCCAGAAGTACATTTAAAAAGGCAAAAAAGGGTTGCTCTATCGTGCCAGGTGAGGGTCAAACCTGCGACCTTCAACTTAGGAAACAAGAGCTCTAACCACTGAGCTACAGGTGCTTGTGTTGTCATGCTTATTCCTTTCGGCTACTATATGCAATACGTTTGGTCCGAAGGGCCATTTTTTTGTAAGTAGGACAAAACACGGGCTATTAAAAGTTTGAGGGGCTATAGAGGGTAGTTTTCTCTATAGAATATAGTCAACTTTTAGAGTTTTGATCAGTACTTAATTATCTTAGTCATCTCAATTTATAACTAATACAGAATAGATTTGAAGTCGGGAGGAGATAAAATGGTAAAAATTTACCCGCACTTGCAGGTGTTTACACCTGGTCAATAAATATATGATACTTGTGGCTTTATTTAAATCAACTATTATTACTTAATCATATTTAATTTCCATTTATTAATATAATAGAAATAGTTTTTACTGCTATAAGAGCGCGCCATCATAACATTAATCAAATATTTTTTTGGATGTATACTAATTACGAAGTACAATTATTTTTGATTTTTCCAAGGCCTTATAAAACGTTGCATATTCTCTCACAATTTTTAGTTGTCCTCGTCTTTCTTCCTTTATATAAGAAACCTCTTTGTATGGATATGCTTTCTAAAAATATTAACCACCAAGTAAATACAAGGAGTTAGGTACCTATAAAACTTAATTCTAGGTCACCCCCTTCTCTCATTTGTTTTTCGCTGATGACCTAACCCTTGTGGGTGAAGCTATAGGAAAACAATTAATACAATTTGCGGATGTATGGAAGATTTTAGTTATGTATCCGGATTAAATATCAACAAAGAAAAATCTAAATTGATCATGTCTAAGAGTTGTAATAAACACACTCAAGACATGGCTACTAAACTTTTGGGATTATCATTAGCAAGACCTTTGGTACATATTTAGGGTTTCCAATGCTGAATAACTTCCCTAAGCACAAAGATTATCAACCATTACTTGACAAAATGCGTGCTAGATTAAACAATTGGAATGCAAGGTGGCTAAGTATGGCGGGGAGGTGCACACTTATGACATCTATTTTAAATACGTTGTCAAACCACTTAATGCAAATAAGTCTACTTTCCACCAAAACACTTCAAGAAATGGACAAAATTCAGAGAGATTTCCTTTGGGGGACTACGCGGGAAAAGAAAAAAATTCACCTTATTGGATGGAATATGGTTACCAACACAAAGACTAATGGTGGTTTGGGCATTAAGAAAGCAAAATATAAAAACATGACCCTCTTAACAAGCTTGGCATGGAGGATCCTTACTAATACAACCTCCCTATGGGCTAAAACTCTTATAAGTATTTATGGGAAAAGTAAGAGAATTAATGGCTCTTCAAACACTTGGAAAAGTCTCCTCAAGGGTTGGACAATTTGTAATAAGGGCATTAGGTGGCCAATTGATAGAAATTCCCAGATGAATGTTTGGGACTCAAACTGGATCCCAAACATTCAAAGTCTTCGTAATAATATTTCAGGACTGTTAAATCAAAATGAAGATAAGTTAACAATTAATGATATTTGGGATAATAAGGGTTGGAATTTAGAAAAAAATATCTTTTGACCTGCCTCAAGTAGTCACGAACAGTATTAATGCTTTAAATCCCAAATGCCAAGTCCATCACCCCAACAATCTTATTTGGAGTCTTAACCCTAGCGGTATATTCTCTACTACCTCTTGCTATAACCTAATTGAGGAACAAACACCATATACCCTTACCTCAGATGACTGATGGCGCTCCTCAGTGTGGGAAGACTCGTCAAGCAGACCAAAAGGTAAAGTCAGACCGCTCATCACAAACGGGACTTCTCGAGACACTACATGCCCAAGAAAGATCTTGGGAAAGTGTTTCCCTTAACTTCATCACAGGATTGTCCAAAGTCGGAAACCTTGCATCCATCTTGGTTGTAATAGAACGGTTTTCCAATTATACAACCTTCATAGCATCCCCACAAAACATATCAGCAAAAGATACAACTTGACTCTTCTTCTCGCACATTGTCAAATATTGGGGTCTGCCCAAAGACATCGTTAGTGGTTGCGGCTCCCGCTTTACTAGCAACTTCTGGATCCATCTCTTTTAAGTGCTTCGGGTCAAAATTGAATCACAGCTCAAACTTCCATCCACCATTAGATGACCAGACGGGACGGTTCTATGACATGTTAGAGGAATATCTTCGGCACTTTGCAACCGGATCACAACAGCATTGGGTGAAGCTTTTGGATGTTGATCAACTGTGTTTCAATTATCAAAAGATCCCTAGTACAAACAAAATCACTTTTGAAATTATTACCGGACAACAATCGCTTCTGCCGCAAATGGTGAATGCATCAACCATGCCGAAATTTCCTCGAGCTGCCAACTTCTCAAGGGAATGGGAGCGCAATTTGGAGGTAGTGCGGAGATATCTCGTCAGAGCCCAAGAGCGGGCAAAAAGGTTCGCTGATCAGAATCTTTGATTTGTCCAACATCAAGCAGGAGACAAAGTAATGCTAAACATCCCAAGGCGGTACTTGTTCGCAGAGAGGACCCATGACCCTCGCCTACTGCAAAAACACATTTAGCCCATGTCCATTAA